ATGTGGAAACACAGAAGCCATCCTACTACTACTGCTACTACTACTACTACTACTACTACTACTACTACTACTACTACTACTACTAAAAAACTTGAATGAAAAACTTTGGAAATTTTGTAACTACGAACCCTGTAATTGTGATAAACTTATTAGATAGATTTGTCCATTTCAACTTCACATACCGTTAATTTCAGATAAATTGAGCTAGAGGACCGAATCGAACACATTAATAACAAGTCTCACGCCTATATCTTCGTGGGTGAAGAGTGTTGACTGTTAATGGTTGTTATAATCGGAGCCAGCTCCCTGAAAGCAGCAACCGAAGTAGCCCCTAACGATTTGAAGAGATTGTTATCGCGCATCAGCTTTGCACCGAAAGGATTGAGTCTCAACCCCAACTCTATCCACAAAGTTTTGAACCTTGGCTCTCTCTTAGAAAATGGAAAACTACGTAAAGCAAGAGACATCATCCTTTGGCACAACGTGTTAAACAACACAATTGACAAACACAGACTGAACGCTCAGAAAGCAGAAAAAGTCCCGAATCTGATCAATACGCTCAGTAAACATACCTGGCGAATTAAGGCGATTATTTATTGCCAAAGAGAAAACGCGAAACATATTTTTGCAGAATTGAGAACATTGAATACTCTAGTAATACCAGCAGGAAAGAAACTAATTTCAAGTCGCAAACTGAAAGAGTGGTGGTACCAATCAGACCTCAGGAAAACACATCCCTCAACGAACTTGGAAATAAAGTTTTTGGAAACGATTCTTCAGCGGTTCACAAACCTTGAATCACTCGTCAAGAAATATCGTCCACCGCTCAAAAAAAGATAATCAAAGAAGAGAAGCGAAAGAAAAACCAAGAGAAGCAGGCCTCAAAAGAAGAATAAGAAGAAAACAAAGAAGAGAAGCGAAAGAAAGACCAAGAGAAGCAGGCCTCAAAATTAGAATAAGAAGATGAACAACAAAAAGTAAGGTTAGATTATCTTTTTTATAGATTTTACTCTAGTAGCTACCTGGAACTTAGTTGTTTTGGAGCGGTCCAGGTGAAGTCTGTTAAAATGAGTAACCGTACCAGGAGAAATGTAAACAAATCACAGGCCGATGATGCCTGGATTTGTGTTGGTTGTAAAAAAGAATTCGGAGATCCAAAGGATCATGTAATGGAACGCGATAATTGCGCGAAACATTTATGTGCAAAATGGATAAAAATGCCATCGGAAGTTTACGATTTCATGTCTAAAACAAGGGCATATGGTGTTGAGACACATATACACCCGAAGTAAAAAGCCTAATTAAGGGTGCAACCGCTCCAAAAATGAATCCGGAGATAACTAAATTGAGGAACGACCTGGATAAGACGGTTAATTCCGTGAAGAGTCTAATGGAGGACTTCTACTACTTCATGAATGGAACGGAAGCCAACTCACAGCCAACAATGGGATCAAGCACAGTGAAAGATAATGCCTGGAAAGCAGAGCCTCAGGTCACCAAACCATTGAAGACATAGATTTGGAAGCTGGAGCAGAACAAAAACGGGAAGAAGACGACGACTTAAGAAGGGAAAAAAATCTCATTATACACAAAGCCTCGGAAAGCCAGTCAAGCGACTCAAAAGAACGTTATGATGAAGACATGTCAATAATCCAGCAACTATGCTCTAGCATAGAAATTGAACCAACTAAAGTTAAAAACTGTACTCTACTAGGCAAAACCCCGGATCAAGAGAACAGAGCGAGGCCCCTCGCACTGATAATCACTCTAGACTCACCGGGGGATGCGGAATTCATGATAAAAAACTTGACAAAACTGAAGTTTGCCGAAGACGAATTCAGACAACTAAGAGTCACTCCTGATAGGAGCATGAAAGAGAGAGAAAGTGTCCGTTTTCTAGTGCAACGGGCAAAAAACTTAACAGCAGAGGAACCCGGGAACTTCATGCACATTGTCAGAGGGAACAAAATCAACAGAGTTAAAAAAAGAGAGATAGAAAAATTGCAAAGAACAACGCCGGAAACAGAGAGCATTTTGAGCTCTGGTTCGGGAATGTAGAAACATTAACTCCTGATAAAATCATTGAACTACAAGTACTACTACAACAAGCAAATATGTTACCACACTTCATTGCCCTATATGAAGCGAAACCCAAGAATTCTGTAATGCTGTGGAACCCAATTTGGCACAAAATTGACTGCTCAATTTAAAACAAAAAAAGATAAATCCGAACGAAAAGGGGAGAGGCATGTTGTTTTATATTCAAAAAGACATCGATTACAAGGAAACCAACAATGAATCTGGATTTGAGGAACTGCAAGTATACAATCTACTGCTAACAAAGAGAGAAGTTGTGATAGCTTCAACCTATCGGAGCCCATCATCTACCCCCGACAACAACTACAACCTAAACTACTTCTTTAGAAGCTTTAGATCCAACCGTTCTGGATACATTGTACTAGGAGACATAAATCACAGAGATGTAGATTGGCAATATATCAGGACGAATCATGACAAGAACAGCAAGGAACAGCAAATTTTTGAAGCGGTAAAAGATTCTTATCTCGATCAACACTTTGATAGACCAACGCGTGTGACCAAAAACAACGAACCATCGCTACTAGATCTCATGCTAGCCGACAAAACCCTGGAACCAACTAGCATAGAATACATCTCCCTGCTGGGTAAGGGTGATCACACTCTAATCCAAGCAAAATTTGATCTCGGGACAACAAAGCGATGTAAAGAGAGACTGAATTACAACAAAGGGAAGTACGTGGAACTCCGATCAGAGTTAAACACCAACATAATGTATGAAAAATCGCAAACACTAGAGCAAAACTGGGAAAAAATTAAAAGCACTCTTGATTGTGCTGTTAAGAAGTTCATCCCTAAAAATTTAATTCGTACAAATCATAACAAAAAGCCAATGAGACCCGAAGTGAGAGATGCAGTTCGTGAAAAACAAAAAATTTAGAGATGTCAGGAGAAATGAAAAACAAAAAATTATGAAAAATACTCGAAGTCTCGAAACAAAGTCAGGAAATTGACAAGGAATTGTGTTCGAATACATGAAGAAGATATATCAAAAAGCATAAAACAGCGACCTAAAAAGTTTTGGAATTATGTAAACAAAAACATTAAATCCACTGAGACGATACCTGCACTCAAAATTAGCAATGATAATTGAGTAAAGACCAAAAAAGAGAAAGCGACTGCCCTGTCTGATTTCTTCAATTGAATTTTTGCCATAGAAACACCTGGCAGCTTGGATTTAATGGATCTCCAAGAGCACCAAATATCAGATGATCTATATCTCTCTAAAGAAGAAATACTACATGAATTTGCAGAGTTAGACACCACCAAATCGGTGGGAGCTGACAATATTTACCCAAAGATTTTGAACGAATGCCGATGTGAATTAGCTGAATTACTGTGTTCTTTAAGGCAAAACTCCTGGGATAAGGGAGAAATACCCAAAGATTGGAAAGGCGCAAATATAACAGCGATTCCTAAAAAGACGCAAAAAGTGACCAAAACAATTACAGACCTGTTAGCCTCACATCAATCTGTTGCAAATTAATGGAAAAAGTAATAAGAAGACACCTGTTTGACTTTTTGAGACAAAACAACATCTTATCAGAAAAACAAAATGGTTTCTTACCAGGTCGATCAACGACTCTCCAGTTATTAAAAGCACTCGACGACTGGACTGCAGAACTGGACAAGAGTTATGAGGTAGACATAGTGTTTATCGACTTCCCAAAAGCTTTTGATAGCGTTCCCCACAAAAGACTATTGAACACAGTATCCAAAAATGTGATCAAAGGGAAAACTTTAAAGTGGATCACAGCATTTTTAACGGATAGGGGGCAACGGGTAGTGGTAAACTAAAGCTATTCGGAGTGACCACCAGTTGTCAGCGGAGTCCCACAAGAATCTGTCCTGGGAACAATACTTTTTTTGCTATACATCAATTTGATGAGGGGTGGCATTACATCCACTATGCTTCTGTACGCAGATGACGCCAAAATATTCAGATCAACTACTGACGAGACTCAAGAGGGAAAACTACAGTTTGACCTGAATGAAATTTTCAAATGGGCTAAAATCAGTTTAATGAAGTTCATTCTGACTAAATGTCATACACTCACTCTAACGACAAGAACGAAACAATCTGAACGGAACTATACCCTAAATGGCGAAAAACCACTGAATCAGAGAAAGATCTGTAAGTTATCGTTGATTCAAGATTACAATACCATGAGCACATCGCCAAAAAGACGAAAGCGGCAAACAGTATAGTCGCGATAATCAGGAAAAGTTTCGTGAACCTGACCTCTGAAATTCTAACGACCCTGTACAAAGCCTTAGTAAGAGCACATCTGGAGTATGCAAATCAGGCATGGAATCCATACCTGAAAAAAGAAAAAGTTATGATTGAAAATGTTCAGCGACGCGCAACGAAACTTATTCCAGGCATACGTAATTTCAGCTACTCGAAACGACTTCAGACTTTGAAACTACCAATACTCGAGTAAAGACGCAAACGCGGTAGATTGATTGAAGTCTTCAAAATTCTGAACAGTCTATACGATACAGCAGCGACTGAAGGATTTAATACAATCAATGAAAGAGACAAAAGAAGAAACCCTTTCAAGATTGTGACCAAGAAGACCAGAAATACAGCTAGACAAAAATTCCTTACAGTTGCAGCCATCAACGATTGGATTTTGTTACCCGAAACTAATATCAAGCGAGAGGGTACACGTTTTCAAGTCAAGACTAGACAAACCATGGGCGTCTGAAATATATGACGCATCCTTTATGGAATGACGAAATGGATGTCCAAGAAAGAGCTGGTCGACAGAGGCCTGGGAGGCCTACAAATCAGAAGTTAACCTGTGAACCTGCAATTGGGTGCTGTCAGAGTACACTCAAAGAATAGTTTTTTGAGTTGTTGAAAGTTCGAAGCACCGAAAGTGCGTTACACGCTAGTCCTATTTAATAAGTTTATCACATCAAAAAGGCTAAATGTGAAAGCTGATCGAAATCAGTTTGTCTGATGGTCTAAAAATAGTAACTTAGTACTGAGCGCTTAAGAGACCAAAAAAACAACTGTCTAGTTCAAGACTGTTTAAACGAGGAGGGTTAAAGCAACACGTGGTGAGATTGCTGTTTATGCAACAAGACTGAAAAAGTCAAAGGAAAATTTTTATGTACGTTCTAATACGCTATACAACTATTTTAGAATTCTTTGCTGGTCTGGAAACTGCAGCCCACCGGGAAAAATACCAATTTATAAACGAGGGTTCAAAACCCTTGGAGAAATCCTAAAGCCTACCCTACTACTACTACTACTACTACTACTACTACTACTACTACTACTCTTACTACCACTACTACTACTACTACTACTACTACTACTGACGTAGTATTTAGCCTAATTGTTGTGATAAAATTATTAAATAGTCTTTCTTTGGTCAAATTTACCGCTTGTGTGTTTTCATATCATATGCGCGCTGGGCTTTCCTCTTCTGGTTATATTACCAAATCTCGCCGTCCCAGCCGTAGGCGAGTGAAGTTTCCTTGGCGTAACTAGACGCAAGAAGGAGTGAGCTGGTGAATCGACCTCCAAATCGACGTCAGGTTGTACCACTCCTTTCTTTTTTTTTCTTTTTTTTCCTCGCCTTTGCTTCAGCAATTTTAAACAGCAATTCAGCAATTTTAAGTGAAAGTATTCATAAATCACCCCAAAGAGCTTCATTTCTCGCCCCAGGTGTCTGTGTTTCAGGTTGATGCCGCAATTCCAGGCAAGACGCATCCCTGAGTTCTCAGAGAAACTGATTATCGGGACTTCAAGGACCAAATATATCAAAACAGCTGTAGTAAAAAGAACAATTCACTCCTACCGCGGCGCAACGCTTCATGAACTGTTTGAAACAGTTTTACAATACAGACCAAAGCGCCTAAATACAGTAACAATAGTTGCTGGATACAATGAAAACGGGCATCCACAAGAATAAGAACAGCAGTGGAAAAATTTGATTAACCTCGTCACTAACAAGTGTCAGCCCAAGACACTGATCATCCCCAAAACAATTCAACACTGTAATAATTCCGAAGTAAACCGCAAAATTTATATTCTTAATCGTGTGCTGTTTAATTTGATAAATAGATTTGTACACCCCCATACACTTATTGTTTCACCTAACCTCAACCTAAATCTAACCCTTCAAATGTTCTGCCGTGATTGCGTCCATTTTTCGTTCTACGGTAATGATTTCTTTACAAATGTTCTTGCAAATTTAATCTATAAATTCTCTCGCTAACTTGACACCGCCGTCCTTCCTAAAATGGCTACTCAAACACACTGCCTTATTGTAAAAACAGCCTGCGAGGCGGAGGTGTTTGGTGCTTCACATATCCAGGCTACATGCATGTAAAATGCAGCGGCCTAGCCCGCAGCAGTGATCACTATGACGATTTCAGTTGTCATCGCTGCACCTCCCAATTTCATTCAGCTAACGACAAGCATGAATGCAATCCCCCAACCCTAGCTACAACCACGCTCCCGCAAATGCACCCTCGCCCTTCCACTGCCCCACACTCACAACCCTCGCCCCACTTCCACTATAGAACCTAGAACAATACAAGACCCATGGTCAAACCCCTTTCCAGAACTCATAGAAACCACCAGGAAAAGATACACCAAACTGGTCCACTGGAAACCGGTCTTTTTGATCTTGTCAAAAAATAAAGTTGGTTATAACTTCATTGAAACTCTCAATAGAACTTTGAACAGCCTAATAGAAAACAACGAAAACACCTTCGCAATGCACGCAGCAATGATTTTTCGACACTTATTACTCTGCAAAACAAAGTCCGAAATTGATGGATATTTATCCAAAACAATAGCAAGACGACTTAAGCAATGACAAGACGGAGACTTGGATGGACTATATAACGAAGGAAAGGCGCTGCAAATGCGCTTGTTGAAAGGAAGTAGAAGAAAAACTGAAACTGAAGCACAACAGTTCAACAAACTAATGGAAACTGGAGAAATATAGAAACACCCACCATCTAAACAAATTGATGAGAACTATATTACACCAGTCTCAAACGAAACAATTTCTTTCCATCCATCGATATTTGATCAGTTAAATCGTCAACATGTCAAGAAGGCAGCCATGAGAACGCACGGATTGCATGGACCATCTGGCCTCGATGCAAATGAATGGAGACGTATTTTAACACACTTCGGGCAACAATCAGTTAAAATTTCAAAAACAGTTGCTAAAATTGCCAAAAAATTGGCCACCGAAGAACTAAATCTAGAACTAATGGAACCATATAACGCATAATACCCTTTGAAAAGAATCCAGGGGTAAGACCCATAGGCATAGGAGAAGTTATGCGTAGGATAATAGGGCGAACAATAATTAAATGCCTAAAACACGAACTCATTTCGCTCGGTTCGAACTACCATCTCTGCCTAGGACAAAAATGTGGCATTGAATGTGCGATCCACACGCTAAGAAATCAATACAGCAAAACTTCCGCCGATGTTGTTTTACTGATAGATGCCGAAAACGCTTTCAACTCGCTGAACCGAAGCTGGCATTAAAAAACATCGAAAATACCTGCCCTTCCCTTAGTACAGCGATTAGGAGCTCCTACTCCAATCCATCTAAACTATTCGTTAACGAAAAAAGAGAATCTACTCTCAACAAGGGACAACCCAGGGGGATCCACTAGCAATGGCCATGTACGGTCTAGCCATAGTACCCCTCATAAAACTTTTATCAGTAGACGATGTAACCCAGAAATGGTGAAGCTCAGAAAATCTTCGCAAATACAGGAATCACTATAAAAGCGGAAGCCCGAGTGCTTGGATCAGTTATAGGAACAGAATCTGAATGTAAAAAATTCCTCGAATTTCAACAGAATGAGCAAATCAAAAATTTGAAAAAACTAACGAAAATCGCTAAAACCTCCCCTCAAAACCTTTATGCCTGCTATACTAAAGGAGTTCAAGAAAAGCTTTCATTTCTTGCCAGGACAACGCCTAACACTATGGAAAACTTAGAAATGTGTGAAAATATTATCAAAAAACAATTATTACCTAACCTAGTCGGTAAAGACACTTTAAACCCCCAGTTCCGTGAGATATTTTTCTTTACCACTTAAAATTGGCGGATTTAACATCAAGCTGCCATCCGATCATGGAAGCTACCTAGAATGGTCTAAGGAAACATCATTAGTACTGGAATCTCAAGATCCTATTACAGCAGTAACACAGCAAGAAAAAAATGTACGAAAATCAGAAAATTGAAAACTGATAGAACAAATCGAAAAAAAAAACCTCATTAACTCCATAAATGAAACAGATAAAAACGCAATCGACCTGGCCTCTCAAAAGAGAGCCTCTGACTGGCTCAATGTTCTACCACTGAGCAGATACAACTTCAACCTGAATAAATCAGAGTTCAGAGATGGTATTTACTTAAGATACGGATAGGAACCGACCAAACCCCCACTCACATGTGCCTGTGGTGCTAATTTCAACTTGACACAAGCGCTACACTGTGCAAAGGGCGGTTACACACACATAAGACACAATGAAATCAGAGACACATTCGGCAACCTCGTGAACGAGGTTTGCCATGACGTCGAGATTGAGCCGAAACTTCAGCCGTTGCAAGGCGCAAGATTTGTCAACAATTCAACTACAACTGAAGATGAGGCACGACTTGACATAAAGACAAACGGACACTGGGGTTCACGATTCAGCCGTGCTTTCTTTGATGTAAAAGTTTTCAACCCCCATGCCAAAACATAGCGAAAACTGCATAAGGTTGCATACAAATACCACGAAACGCTGAAGAACTCCAAATATCAGCAAAGAATTTTAAACGTAGAGCAGAGTAGCTTCTGCCCGCTAATTTTTGGATGCACCGGTGGCGCTGCTCCAACAGCCACGCGGACGATGCAGCGATTAGCCGAAAAACTAAGTGAAAAAAGACAAGAAAGCTATCCAGAATCTATAAACTACATAAGAACTAAAATAAGCTTCGCGATCCTGAGGAGCTCTATACTTTGTATAAGGGGGTGCAGATCGCTACGCAAAGTTCAATTTATCGACAACTCCATAAGCGCTATTGTAGAGGAAGGCCGGCTAAGATAAATTAACATTACGACGATGCATTTAATGCTGATATATGACTTCATTGCTGATATATATGCATTTTTATATCGCTGGTATGGCCCTATCCAGCTTATGAACTTACCGTAACTAAACGGAAGGGCCCCTTTTGTAATTTAGTTTTTTCATTATTCAAATGAGTTGTTTGGTTTGTAAAACTACTACTGACGTCAAAGTTTTCTGCGCTCCGTCACTGTGTAATGTCGGGCGAATGTTACATTTCAGATTGATTGATTGATTCTGCTGAATTGAGCCCTGCTTTTAATGGCTGTCGTCGCAACAACTCTAGAGCTCAGCAGGTGAGTTGGAAATAAACCTCTGCATGAATTAGAGTTAGCATTTCGACAGATTTTTTGCTCCAAATGCTTGACAATTTAGTGCTAACGTGAAGAGTTGAGTAGACGAGGTTGAGTTATAAGTTATCGAACTTAAACTGGTTATTGACAAACATGAACTGATAGTACGAAATGTTCGGTAAAAATCACGTGGTGAGAGAAAGAAAGCACAAAATGTGTATTGAAATGTCACGTGGTGAGTATGTTTGTTAGTCGTTGTAAATTTTTGGAACACTCATGTCAGATCAAAACGACAGTAGGCATTGAGACTGAACCACGCTATCAGATGATGATTCATGAAAAAAGACCGAGAAGTTCTTTCATCGCGTTGAGAAATCCGTCAACGAGTTGATCCGTCTTGGTGTAGACATCTTCGTTCCCCTCGAGTCTTCCCAGAGAAGAGTCAAGGAATTTCTTTTAGAGAGAACTGTGTCAACTTTTGATCAACTGAACTCTTGTTCATGGTTCTTGAAGTGCACTGCATCTTTTTATTTTTGCCTTAATTTACTCAAGAGAATTAATTCTTTCATTATTATGATTATTATTATGTTACAAGTGAGTCTTCCAATCCTGATGGTGAGCTGCAAAGTGATGGGAACAATAAGAAAAAAGGTGTAACGGTATACGCTACAGATACTGCTGCCGTCGCTACACATGAAACAACGACAGTAGCGACGGCTGGCAAGGAAATTTCTATAGAACCATCACCGCAACCATCCAGACTGCTCCCTCAGAAAGAGTCGGATCTCTACTTTGCCAACAAGGTTAGTGTCTACCTGTGATGCGCCATCACTGATGATTCATGGTAACAGCGCTCCTTGCTGTCCACTTCTAACGTCCTTACTAGCCTCAAGGGCTCTTTTCCAGTTCCACTTTTCAAATTCAATTTTGAAAAGTCTATTTAACGTTGTCATAATGCAATGAAATTTGGCGTGGTGAACAAATCAACAACTGTGAACAGATTTCTTCTTCATACTTTACAGCGTAAAATCACGCTTTTAGTCGTAAAAACACGTAAAACAAACAAGACTCGTTATTTTGAAAGGCGGGGGGGGGGGCTGGAAAAGAGCCGCCTCAAGAATTTGAAGAATTACGCTTGCGATTAGCAAGCATTATCAAACCGGAATGTAGACTTTTTCGGCTATTTTTTTTCGGCAAGCCGAAAAGATAAAAATTTGGATGTTTTCCAGACTTTCGGATATTTTTGCAAATTTAACGTTTGTTTTGAAAATAATTGTAAGTTTTTTTCAGGTTTGTCGGTTTAAGTAATGAGAGTCACTCATTTTTTTATCGCTAGTGGTTGCGAAGCTCTGCTTCGCCTCTGTGTTAACATTGTTCTTCACCAAGTACCTGAGGGAGGTGATAGAAATTCTTGTCGTCTGGTTTATGATGTTCAGTGATATGAATGGATTTTAAGTATGCTTTCGTATCGCAATCGTAAAGATCTGAACCGATAAAAGTTTGCATCCATTTTTTCAAAAAAGAAACTTAATTTTTTCGTTAAGTAGCGTGACAGAAGAATCAGCAGTTTTGATTTGACTAGCTTGATTGATGCTTAGGCAATGAGACTGGAAATAGCAGAGGAAAAATTAAAGCGGGAATGTCTACTCCCAGATTTGGATGGAGAATTCGTGGCCATGTTTGTGCTGACAGAGTGAGTAGTGATAGGGTTTTCTCCACTTCTGTATTAACTGTCTGGTTTGGCGTTTTAGCTTAGCTTAGCTCAGCTCCTCGCCGCCTAATTTGGTGGAAACTGTAGGCGATGATCATGTTGATGACTTTGTAGAATTGACCACTGGAACCACGACAGAGAACGAGTAGTGTTGCAGTGTGAGTGTAGTGTGTTGGTGGTGAATTACAGCTTCATCACTGAGAAGTGGAGCGAGCTCACCAGGATCAATCTCAAATGCATATCCCGCATACACTTTGCCAAGCAACTCACCTTCAAAAAGATGTCTCTTCAGTGGTAAGTCAGCCTTAGTGGAACCAGCTCAAACAAATGTTTTTTTTTTAATATACCTTGATATTTATCACTGTAAAATATTTAGAACTAACCAATCAAGATCCATTACTTAAACTTACGATAACTTGTAAAGCTGAAAATATTCATAGCTTCAGCCAGAGAAAGTATAATACAGATTGAAATCAGTTACTTTCTTCTCTCCTCTTACCTCGCAAGAATTCCAGTATATACTAGATATATTGAGATTAGGAAATATAAGAGTAAGGTTAGGATTGTTAGTAGACTAAGAAGTTGCTCAAATATATCCTGTCAAAAATTAGACAATGTGACGAACAGACTCGAGCAGAATCAATACAAACTTATATTCAGAAAACATCAAACATGTCGAAAAAAATTAATAGTAGAATTAGCCAATTTCCACGTCTCAATAAGTGTAATCAAGCCGAGTCAATACTAAAGACAAAAAACAACACAACGGAAAACGATAGCCAAAAAAACTGCATCACAAAGCGAAAAAGCAGTCAACGTCGACAAAATTTAAAACCAATTTGTGCTGTAAATCTTCTTAGTTATTATCTGAACTGCATTAAACAGAGCCGTAAATTTGATTTATCAAGCGATATCTCTTAAATAGTATGCAATAACTAGTACTATAATTAAACAACAAGACGTCGACAAAAACTTTATAAAGTTAAACCTAATTTCAAATCTGCGGTAACTTTTCTAAAAACTTTTACTTCAAATTTATAAATTCATGAAATATGCTTGGATCTTTAACCATCTATTTTTTTGAAAAATTTAACTAAACTATCTAATCATCACGGCTTTTCTTGACTTGAAATCTTAATCCCTACCCTAAGCATCAATAATTATTCCAGATCATCAAGGCTTTCCTTCGATCTTATAAGTTTTACTTTAAAGTTCATACCATCCCCTAAAATTATTTCTTAACGACGTCGAACGTCGATTCACTTTCCAACCCTTCCGGACGACCCCGAATTCACTGAAATTTTTTTGTCAAAAACTCACTATTTAATATAAGCTAAACAGAGAAGAGCTTCGGTTATTCATATTTCGTTTGCACCGCACCTCTTATTTGACACAGGTCTATAAAAACTCTTAGAACTGCTTTGCTCTAAAAGAGTATTTAGCGATCTACTTGTGTTCTAATTATACCTGAAGCTTGTGAATTGATTCCTTTATTCATCAACCATCGATCTCATCGATTCCCATTTTAGTAAGATTAAGCCGACTCAATCATAGAAAACGACCCGAGGAATAAGATAACACTCAGAAAATGAGTAAGAACTAACAGGTTAGAAAATAGACATTTAACAGCTGGATTTTGCATCAATCATTCTAACATCTACGTCAAAATGTAGTCTAGCAAACAAACAATATTTTTACACAATTGTTTAATTCATTTTTCCCCAATAAGGTCTTGTCATAACCCCAGATAAACAAAACAGTAGGATATTTAAGATCGAAAGAACAATTTTAAAAAAAGAATTCCAATCTACAAGCAAAAACACATTCAGAAAAATTGTTTTTCTAGAAGATGAAACGTAATTTCAGAATCTGATACAACATACAGCAACCATACGCAATCTCGAAAACATTCGAGACACGCACCACGACATCGAAAAACGATGTTTTTCGATTCAGAAGCAACCACAGCATCAAAAAAGTACAAAAAAGAAAAATTATACTTATAACAGGAAAACAGTATCAACCTTGGAATCAACCTTTAAGACATATTGAAAGTTACGCGTTAACATCGATACCACATAGTAAATGATTCAATACGACAATAATTTCGAGGCTGTTTCTGTCTTACTATTTGTCACTCATCCCGACAGTGACCCGTCACGCGGACAAGTACAATTTTGTCACAATCTCATTAAAAAAAAAGACAATAGCCCATGCCTACAAGAATTTCCAGAAGATAAAAATAAGTACATAGTAGATCATTGCCTGCTATTTATATGCAAAGTAACCTCACAATATGCTATATTCACAATTGAAATCTTAGCACCAGATTTAGATAACCAAACCCCATCACACAAAAGACAAACTGATGATAAAGATTTAAGCTTTTCAAAATTTTTCGTAAAATATAGCAAAAGTATACAACATGAAAACTTAACACGAGCAAATTCAACTTTTACAAATGATATTTTTCAATAAGTTACAGCTATGTCGTCCATCTTAGATACCGACAAAGCTATAAGGACAGAAAATAATCCATTCTCAAGACTTTTATATTCAATTCGCGAGAAACTCACTTACAAAGAAAATTCATAATTAATAAAAGTCGATCTGCAACAAATTTCAGCATGGTTTATAATAGATTACTTCCAACATATTTTAGACCTTATAAAACAATCAAAAAAGAATTTCGTACAAACTGCGACGAAGACACAATTTTGGCAGATGAAACAGATTATGCTTAAGACCATGATTGGTATCATGAAATTTTCATTAATAAACCAATGATATCTCAAGTTCAGTTAATCGAATAATTTCAGTAAATGAAAATTATCTGAAAACAATACAATAACAACCGAACTAAAATTCCAATAAGACCAAACTTTACACCACCAACTCATAACATACAAACACAATACCTGTTATACACTCAAGACTACCGATGATAAACAATGAGAAATTAAATACCATTACCATATTATTTACAACAATGAAATTAGTCGAAATCAACTCACAAGTTTTACTCAAATACCTAACACAGCGGAATCACTCCATATGACGATGAATCAACACCTTATGGGTTGATCATCTGAAACATTAAATAAACCATTATAGGTTTTCACAGGAGCAGATCTTAATTACTCATCCGAATATCTTGAACGCTGTTACAGCTAATTTAGTTTTGAATATAGGCCCAGAACCTATCAATACACCTCTTCATCAAAATTGAATTCATAGACGCACAGCTCTGATACAAACCACACTGCGACTGAGCAGGTCAAAATTGGTTTTCAGTTTATCTTATAGAAATCAAATTAGATTGGAAACGTTTCACACAGGAATTGGCAAAAATGTTTGACTCAGAAAGAAATAAACAATATCAAAGAGTTTTATGTAACGAGATTCGCAGACTCCCGAATGAAACTATAAAACAACTTGCTGTAAGAATGGAAACACTAGTACGAAAGTCATCCTCCTTAGGTCCGATTATGACACTTCCGATACGTTAATTAATTAGCTACAGTGCAAGGCAGACATATACAAAATTATTTAAAAATATAACTAGGTTTCCAACCAACCAAAACCATGGAAGAAAGTAAACTAATAGAACCCTTAAATATTATATTTCACATCTCAGATATATAAGATAATATAGTAGGAATACCAGTTTTTAGTAAATACCAACGATTCATATTTTACATGGTACATTTCAAATCAAAGACAAGTATATCAGATAAAAAACTTCATTAAGGTTCTTTCAAAGATATAACAAACAACCTCCTTTCTTTTAAAGTTTTAGCATATTATAACAGACAAAGAAAACATTCAAAACCTTTAACTGCTTAGACATAACTTCCCGAGTGCTCAACTTCGATAATACAGCAATAATCAAAACACACAGAAACGCCACATGTCTCTTTTGATTTAGACCCATCCATAAATTTTTTCGAGTAATAATATCAATCAAATATGCAAAAAATGTAAAGAGATAACGTCGAAATACTTATATATAACAATTCAATTGCAGGAAAAGCATATAGACTAAACAATATTCTGAAATTATTACTTAATTTGTCAATCTACTTTCCTGAATGAAGAATTATCATTTAATAATTTAATTCAAGAACCAAAACGCAATATCGATTATTTAAAAAAAACATATTTTCATTTCACAATACAAATCTCAAATATACACCAGAACAACGAAATGTTTAACGTATGTTGAATTTCAATATTCACAAATAAATCAAGATGAATTTGAACAGTTATCACTTATTATTAAAATTCCTTAACGTTTATGCCACATCAAAGTTTGATGTCGGAAAAATTCATTCACCCGTACATTTTCCACTGAAACGACACTCAGTTTTCAAAAATCAATGCACATGTAAAGTACACATACACTTGCAAGATAAAGTAAATAGACTCTTAGACATACATGAACACTATGAAAGTATATCTCATGTAAAAAAAAGAGCAACAACCAAAAGGTAAAACCTTTATCAATCCAGAAATCTTTAAGAAGGGAATCTTTAAAAATAGCACTCAATGCACTCGGCGCAGCACCTTTACATTCCAATCCCATCAAGAAATAAAGAAAAGTTTTTTTTTCGTTCGCAATTTCAAGACTTTTTACAAGCAGAGCTACGACTCTCTGCACTCATTACCATAACAAATTCCCTAACAGAATACGAACATTAAATCCTAGGATCAAAATACCCAGCTGTTTTTTTACAGACCACAAACTCTTAATAATTTTTTTGTACAAAAAAACCCAAAAGATAAGTATATAGATTTCAACTTATTTAAATTGAGTTCCCGAATCGCTACTTATTTGGGACAGCAGGAAAAAACCTTGCTTTACCAGATACCTTATTAGAAACACTCCACCAGAATTATTAACACATAAAACAACAGTTTAAATTCCCAAAACAAAAATTTTCCTGGCAAAAGATGAAACATCACCACGATTAGCAAGCAAGTATGCAGTGAAAATTGACTCAGATTGTAAAAATAAAAAAGTTAAAACACTTTCCACTTCAGTTAGGATGTCAAAACAATCTGTATGAGGTAGACCTAACAAACAAAAATACATTCAAACTCATCAATAAAAACAAAAGCTCAACTAAAAAAATAACAAACAAATTCCATAAAGAAAATATTTGTTCTTTTAATCGAAAAAAAAGACTTATCAGGCAAATTGAATTTAGTTTCTGACTGAAAGGCTCTATTGATAAAAGATAAAAGCCCCTATAGGAACTTTCCAGGCATTGAACATAATTTAACCAGAAAGA